AGTTTTGTTAGTGCACATGAATCCCTAGCCAAGCCAGTTTGAACAGAATTTGGACTAGACTGTGCTAATCTGAATTAAAATACAACTGCTAAAGTCAATGCCACGACATCAGTCCACTTTGACTTTAGAACATACGAATCTATCAACAAAGAAGAGGGCTTAGAACTTCTAAGCCCACATCGAGCCATCATCATTGCGGGAGATTCAAACCACCAATTTTCATCTCCGCTTCATGTACCAGGAAAATACTACGTACAAGAAACGTAATAAAGGAGCAGCACATACGTTTTTCGAGTTCAATGGGAATTAGCAGCGCCAATTCAAGCTAGAACGTTTGACGTCAACTCCAACGCATTTGAACAAGCACCGAATTTCTCTCTCTAAGATTAGCCGTGTTAGCAAATCTAAGACTTCGTTTCGTGACGTGTAAAGGCAGTCTGACTTTGCGAGTATATTTTGATAAGCAACTTTTGTAGAATTCGTAAGGGATTGTGTTTAATTGAAATACCCGTCCATTAATTACCCCATGGTAACATTATTACATAGTGGTTTGCTACACAAAGTGTCTGAAATGCTATTATGCCTTGCTACAATATTCTACAAATCATTACTCAGAAAGTGACCAATTACCTTAACAAAATTAAGAAACTTAAAAGTAAATTCTTACAATTTAAAAAGCTTGCAAAAATTCGTGTATTTTGCTGCCGGTTCAAAAATTTGCGTTTAACTAAACTTTTTCGTCTTATGTTGCATTCCAACTATTCGCTTTTGCGGTCTTGTTTGACTGTGTAAACGTGTTCCAGAATCGTGGTAGAGCCGTCATGTTGCGTGCTGCGTGTTCTTCTCGTTTTGCCGGTTCTGCGTTTAAGTTACTTGCTCGGGGTGCTGCTAAGGATGTCAAGTTTGGTGCCGAAGCTCGAGCTGCAATGCTTGTTGGCGTTGACGTCCTTGCAGATGCCGTTGCGGTCACAATGGGTCCAAAGGGGCGAAATGTGATACTTGAGAGCCAGTGGCGGTCGCCGAAAATCACGAAGGACGGCGTCACAGTGGCTAAGGGCATTGAGCTAAAGGAC